AACCAGAGAGCAGCGATGCAGCAGCAGTTGAGCAGTTTGGCTCTAGTTCCAGAGGCTGAGCACCTGGGAACACAAACACTGCACAAACAGCTGTTTTGTTGAGCTGAGCCACCTAAAATCTCAATGGCAGGACTTGCTCTGGTTATCCCACATTGCACCACTGTATTTTTATTTGCAGGCCCAAGGGCACATACAGGCACACACCCACATACCAGCTCAGAAAGTACGTGGCATGCGCGCACACACATACTCCTGCTGGCTAGACATTTCATTTAGTCATCACAGACGTTGCTTGGTACATTTGCCTCGACTTGCACAGTAACAGTACTTAATTAAACAGCAAAGAATGCCAGGCCTGCAGGCTTCTTCTGCACAACCTGCCCTAAAGCAGTGTCTGACGGATGGGGAAGAAACAATGCCAAAGCAAACGAAATAGCTCCCAGGCCATTAAAAGCATCATTATTTTTAAGTATTGATTTTTGAATGACAGCAAGAAAATTGGTATCCAACGCATCAGTGACGTCTATTTCATAACTTGTATGCCAGAAGTTAGATAACTTCCAACATCTTTGCCAACACACACAAGAAAGACTTGCTGCAGGAAATCCCGCTGCATCTACACTGCAATGAAGGTGCAGCTCCCAAAAGGCTACAAGTCCAACATCATCAGCCCCCTGCCAATACAGCCACCTCACACACCCAGAGGGCACACTGCTGGCCTGGAAGGCAAGGTTCAGCTACGCTGGAGTCTATCTGAGCTGGGCCAGATAACCCTGGCCCTGAGGCAGCTCTTGGCAAACAAAGCCGATGTCCTCCCCTTGGTGTGTTCAGTGCAGGTGTGGGCCAGTAACCTATTATGTTCAGCAAACTGAAGACCACATTCTCCAGCAAGGCTAAACTCCAACCTTTGAAAGCATGACATCTCTAAGTTCCCTCTCTGTAAGATGAAAATATTACCACCACCACTTTACCTACCCCACTGAACATCCTCATAAAAGGCCTCCAGCTGCTTATCAACTTACCAGCACATCTCACACAGCCCAGAAAGCAGGCAGAAGTCATTAAGTAAAGCCTTCCCAGGAGAGAAACTCTAAAGCTTGCAGGTGAAGAGCTCCAATTTATAGAACTATCAAGTGCCGTTACCCACCCCAAACTCATAGCCAACACGGGTTATCAGTCTTGACACTGACCTTTCAGCACCAAAGCAGCTCACCGCACCAGTGCAAATGTTCAGTCCTCTTCAAATGCTTTCTTCCACACCCTCTCTTCTTGCTGGCTCTGGTCCTCTGCTGGATTCAGGAAAGCAGAAAGCTGAAAAAGAAGAGAAGAGAGATGCAGAAAATCATCAACTATGTCAAAGATTATTCTAGGAATCAATATTTGATAATATGTTTTACCATCAAGTCCTCCTTTTAATCAGAATACACCTTATGAATGCATTTGATTAAACTGGAAATAAGTGCATCATTGCTCCTAGACCTTCAATGGGCACTGCTTGGGAAGAGGAAAGAAGTGGGGAGACAGTACCAGAACTCATTGCATACGTCCATCCTCTGCTCCCAGGTCTTACGAGCCCCAGGATATAGAGCACAAACCAGAGTGGGGCCCCTGCAGAGGAAAAGTGCGTCAAGAAGTCACCATTTTCTTCAGCTTCTATCCCTGCTGAAGCATAATCAAGACACAGGTCCTAAGCACCAAGGCAGGCTCTGCTGTAAAACAGCTCCCCTGAATTCATCTGCCACTGCCAGCAAGGCTTCAAACCCCCCAGCATAAATGCACAGTACGTCCCTCAGATAAGCAAGAAGCTACAGGAAGGTGCCTTTAACTTGACAGGAGTTATTTCTCTACAGGCTTACTACATTTATCATAGAATGGTTTGGGTTGAAAGGGACCTTTGAAGGACATCTAGTCCAACCCCCCTGCAACAAGCTTCCACCAGATCAGGTTGCTCAGAACCCCATCCAACCTGACCTTGAATGTTTCCAGGGATGGGGCATCTACCACCTCTCTGGGCAGCCTCTTCCAGTATTTCACCACTCTCATTATAAAAAATTTCCTTCTTTTATCTAGTCTGAATCCACCCTCTTTTAGTTTAAAACCATTACCCCTTGTCCCATTGCTACAGGCCCTGCTAAAAAGTCTGTCCCCATCTTTCTTATAAGCGGCCTTCAAGTACTAAAATAAGGCTCTCCCCAGAGCCTTCTCTTCTCCAGGCTGAACAATCCCAACTCTCTCAGCCTGTCCTCCTAGGAGAGGTGTTCCATCCCTCTGATCATTTTTGTGGCCCTCCTCTGGACCCACTCCAACAGGTCCATGTCTTTCCTGTGATGAAGGCTCCAGAGCCGGAGGCAGTACTCCAGGTGGGGTCTCACCAGAGCACAGCAGAGGGGCAGAATCACCTCCCTCAACCTGCTGGCCCTGCTTCTTTTGATGCAGACCAGGACACGGTTGGCCTTCTGGGCTGCAAGCGCACATTGCCAGCTCATGTCCAGCTTTTCATCCACCAGTACTCCCAAGACCTTCTCAGCAAGTCTGCTCTCAATCCCTTCAGCTGGCAGCCTGTACTGATACCAGGGGTTGCCCCAACCCAGGCACTTGTCCCTGTTGAACCCCATGAGGTTCACATGGGCCCACTTCTTGAGCCTGTCCAGGTCCCTCTGGATGGTATCCTGTCCCTCAGGTGTGTCAACTGCACCACTCAGCTTGGTGTCATCTGCAAACTTGCTGAGGCTGCACTCGATCCCACTGTCTGTGTCACTGATGAAGTTATTAAAGGGTACTGGTCCCAGTATGGACCCCTGAGGGACTTGTCACTTGTCACCGATCTCCATCAGGACATTGAGCCATGGACCACTACCCTCTGGATGTTACCATCTAACCAATTCTTCATCCACCTAACAGTCCACCCATCAAATCCATATCTCTCCAATTTATAGGGAAGGATGTTGTGGGGGACCGTGTCAGAGGCCTTAACAGAAGTCCAGACAGATGACATCTGTACCTCTTCCTTTGTCCACTGATGTGGTCACTCCATCACAGAAGGCCCACTAGGTTGGTCAAGCAGGACTTGACCTTGGTGAAGCCACACTGGCACTCCCGAATCACCTCCCTGCCCTCCATGTGCCTTAACATAGCTTCTAGGAGTATCTGTTCCATGATCTTCCCAGCCACAGAGGTGAGGGTGATGGGTCGATAGTTCCCAGGGTCCTCCTTGCTACCTTTTTTAAAAATGGGTGCAATGTTTCCCTTTTGCCAGTCTCCAGGGACTTCACCTGTCTGCCAGGTCTTTTCAAATATCATGGAGACTGGCTCTGGGATGCATCTCGTCAGGACCCATAGCTTTGTGCATGTTCAGGCTCCTCAGGTGATCTTGGACTTGATATTCCCTTACATTGGGAAGGACTCTACTCCTCCAGTCCCTGCCTTGAGGTCCATCCACTCAAGAGGTGTGGGAAGAGAGACTGCCAGTGAAGATTGAGGAAAAAAAAGCTTTGAGTACCTCAGCCTTCTCCTCGTCCACTGTTACCAGTTTGCCAGTTGTGTTCACTGGGAGGGGTGTGCTTTCTTTGACCTTTCTTTTCTGGCTGAGATACCTACAGAAGTTGCCTTTATTATTCTTTGCATCCCTTGCCAAGTTCAGCTCTGGCCACTCCTTGGCCCTCCCGACCTAATCCCTACACAACTGGGCAGTGACACTGTGCTCTTCCCAGGATACCTGTCCCTGCTTTCACTGCCTGTGCATTTTCTTCTTGCCCGTTAGTTTGACCAGCAGGTCTTGACTCATCCATGCTGGTCTCTTGCCTTCCTTTTCTGATTTCTTACATGTGGGGGTCAAGAGCTCTTGTGCTCTATGGAAAGCATTCTTAAAGATCTGCCAGTTCTGTTCTGCTCCCTTGTCCCTGCAGGCACCTTCCCACGGGGTCCTATTGACTAACTCCTTAAGCAGCTGGAAGTGTGCTTGCCTAAAATTCAGGATCTTGACTTTACTCTTCAACCTGACCCATATACCTCAGGACTGAGAACTCCACCAGTGCATGATCGCTGCAGCCCAGGCTGCCTCCAATCTTGATGTCACCAATTAGCCCAGTTGTGCTGGTGAACAACAGGTCCAGTATTGCATCCCTTGCGGTAGGGCTGCCTATTAGCTGGCTTAAGAAGTTACCCTCAATGAATTCCAGGGGTCTCCTGGGTTGCCTACAGCTTGCTGTGCTACTTTTCCAGCAGATGTCAGGGTGGTTGAAGGATCAGAAGTGATGCAGGATGAGAGCCTGCAAGCACAGTGCTTCCTGTAGCTGGAGTAAGAAGGCTTCATCCAGTAGGCTCTCCTTGATTGGGCAGCCTGTAGTAAACACAAGTCACAAGGTTCCCTTTGTTGCTTTGGTCTCTAATTCTTACCCATAAGCTTTCAACCTGCTCATGGCTATTCTTCAGAGACAGCTCTTCACATTCTATCCATTTCTTGACATGAAGGGCAACCCCTCTGCCCCTCCTTCCTCGTCTGTCCCTCCTGAACAGCTTGTAGTCATCGATAGTAGCGCTCCAGTCATGGGATTCATCCCACCAAGTTTCAGTAATGGCAACTAGGTTGTAGCTTTCTAGCAGCATGGTGGCTTCCAACTCCTCCTGTTTGTTAACCATGTTGCATGCACTGGTGTAGAGGCACTTCAGCTGGGCTGTTGGCCATGTCACCTTTTTAGAGGCACATCCCTTACTTCCTCTGAGGTATTTCACTGGTATTTCTAGTCTCTGTAAGACTTCAAGTGTGCTCCAGTGTAGTCAGCACATCACAGAGCAACGGGCTGAGGACCTCTAACCTTGGTGTGTTGTCCCATGGCTTGCCATTTCTGTGGAGGCAGCTAGGCTGCGTAAGGCTACTGTACTTGAAAATGACCTCTAGCATCCCCTCTATCCCCTGCTTTTCTAAAGAGAGTGGTCTAAGAGAGCCCCAAAGTTTTTGCAATCATTTGTACTGCCACATCCTCAGCCATCTCACCCTCATCACACAGCAGGCAGGTTTGATTCCCCCTGCAATCTGTTTCCATTGGCATTGCAGGCAGCAGGATGGAGAGGGGAAGAGAATAGCAATTCTCCCTCCCTAATCTGTCTGTTTGGATACCGAATTAATGATCCTTTGATCTACACCCTGACACTAACTTATATCACAGCCTCAGGCTTAAACTCTTATCTGTTGCCCGTACAGGAATATGGAAGCAGTAAATACTTCCTGACTTGCCTGGGTGGGATAATGGGGTGTTTACAAACCATGTGGGGAAGAGAAAAAAGTTACTTTTTATTAGCAGATCAAATTTAACACAATTTGTAACATTTTAACTTCCTATTAACATCAAGGGGAGGTTCCTGCAGGCCTTTACCTAGCATAGTATGGGTGACACACCTTCATTTATAATCAGTTTAGATTACCCCTGCTTCCATTCCCTATGAAAAGGAATGCTCTGGTTAAGAGCTAGAAACTTGTTGATTCACATTACTGTGTAGCCTCTAGACCACAAAAACATCTCGAGCGAAACAGTGGAAATCCCAGCACTTGAGCCATTCAGAAGCAGGCCAAAAGCCTGCTTAATTAAAGTAAAGATCAAACAATGGAGCTTTCTGAGGAACTGCGGAAAGGAGGGAAGGCACAGGCAGCACAGCCACCTGCAAAGCAAGCTATAGCTCTGAAACATCCTCACTTCCGAGGCTGGACCCAAACTCTCCTGGAGCAGCCCTTATGCCCTACAGTCTATCCATCTGCTTCATGCTGCTCCCACACTCCTGCCCTTTCAGAAGAGAAAGCCAACCCAGGATGCAAAACTGAATGCTGACCCAGGATGCAAAGCTGAACACTTTGCTTTCCATCTCAGCACGTTGGAACATGCTGGAAAGTCAAAGTACTTGTGCCTCTAGGGCTGAGGAGAAGGCAAAACATGAGCCAGAAATGCAGTGAGGCAAAGAAGCTCCTCAGGAATTGTCATTTATACTGTGTGGGGCAGGCACACAGAACAGATTTTGGTCCAAAACCCTCCTCCCTGACCCTTCACACAGAAGCTGAACTCATTTGGCACTTGCTGAATGAGATTCCCCAGACCACAGCTTGGAAACTGCCTTTATCTCCTTCTGTCTTTTGTCTAAACTGATTATGTGCTCCTGAGGACATGGAGTCATCTGCCTCAACTGTACAGTACCTAGCACAAAAGGATCTTGCCCCAAGCCTTTTAGGGGCTGCTGAGAAGTGCGGAATACAAAGCAACGTTTTCCAGCCACATCACTTGCTCCTACCAGGAATGTTCACGGTGGTTCTGGGAGAGGTGGAG